TTTGATTAGCTCTTTAAGCTCAGAATTCCACCACCATCCACCATATAAGCACCAGACTGGGCAGAACTGGGATTTGGACCTTGAGCGCTGACCGCAGAGCCTATACTATTAACCAGTGACTGCCTTATGCTATGTCCACTTTTCAGAGTGAGCTTGGTTTTCTAGAACCAGAGCTGCTTCTTTCCAACATCCTGGGCACTTCCTTCCATATGGCAGAGTGCCTTGTACCAAAGTAGAAAGGAAGGTTAAAGAGAATAGGAGTTTCTGAAGACAAACTGCTCCTTGCTTGCTGGTAGGGCCCAGGATGCCCTGTCCCCTGAAGGCAGCAGGTCACCAGCAGCAGCCTCAGGACTTCTGTTGGAACCAACACCTTCTAGCCTAGGTGGGCAAGATGCTGTTGCTCCCTCCAGGATGCAGTCCATGCAGTCCTCCAGGAACTGAGCATACCACTTTGAATACTTGGGAATTTCCACACTGAAAAATTCCCGTGAATCAGAATTCAATCATCCACAATGCTCCACGACCCTCCAAAGGTTTGCTTGTGCTGAACTCTCCTTTTACAAGAAAACTATGATTAACATAGAAACAAATTAATAGCATATGCAGAAAGAAGTGAAAATGAAAATATATTTTTAAGAAGACATTAAAGAATGTCAAGAAATTGGTAGAGACTTAGCCCAACTTCCTGAATTCCTCCATCTATTTTTAAAAGGTTACGAGATTTTAGAGCCAAAATGGACTTTTAGAATTTAGTCTTTTCATTTTGCACATGTGAGAAAAGTGACTGACAGACAGGTCAAGTGCATCTGTGAGTGGTTCTCTCTCAGGGGCAGAATTGGAACTTATCCTAAGGTCTCCTGCGTGGCTACTGAATATGAGCAGACACTATTGAACTTGATGCCTTTGATGACACAGACATCAGTTGTACTTTGGATGGTACAGAGATCAGTTGACTGCTGTGTAGATAGATATTCTTAAGGGGCTTCTTCACAGACGTTGAGGATGAGTCTTCTCCTACAACCTTCCTATTGCATCCCCAGCTTTTGTGGTCCTCACAGAACAGGCTCCTTGCTATTGATGTGGCTCTGTGGTGGCAACTCTATAAACAAACCACCATTCACTGCTTCCTAAAAAATGAGGCTTTTTTAGCTGTGGGCAACATGCATCCACACTCTTTCTGAGCTGAAAGGTTGGTTTCTTTGAGGTTGACAAATGATGGCTCGTACCGTCTCCGAATGGCTACAGCCCATCTGCAGCCCTTGATGGCCAGGTGAGAGGGCATGCCCAAGGCTGGAGTTGAAGCACAAAGTACACAAACCTATTTCTTTTTTTTTTTTTTGAGACAGAGCCTCAAGCTATCCCCCTGGGCAGAGTGCTGTGAGGTCAGGCTCACAGCAACCTCCAGCTCCTGGGCTCAAGCGAGTCTCTTGCCTCAGCCTCCCAAGTAGCTGGGACCACAGGCACCCGCCACAACGCCCGGCTATTTTTTGGTTGCAGCTGTCATTGTTTGTTTGGCGGGCCGGGCTGGATTCAAACCCACCACCTTAGGTGTATGTGGCTGGCGCCTTAGCCACTTGAGACACAGGTGCCGAGCCCACAAACCTATTTCAAAATAGGCTTGGCTATGTGAGGAGGCCATTAGCCAGGATTTCAAGGATGTCAGGGATGTCACTTGGAACTGGAAAGAAGGACAGAGATTGCTTTAAAAAAAAAAAAAAAAGGGAGATAGGAAATAAACTACGTAACTTATAGCGTCCCATATATGTGAATCCCGTGGACACAAAAGCACTTTGCCAAGTCATGCAAGAGAGGACAAGATTGTCCAGTGGTGCCATTACATAAAAGAACACTTTTATTCTACCTCCACTTCAGCATCTATCCCGTAATTGCTGTGCCCCTGCAGTAGAAGACAGCAGCAAATCCTGGCTGGATGGTCTATGTAAGTTTGTGTCCTCAGTTTCCCCATCTGAGAAATGGAGATACTGGTAGTCTACCTTTGTGCGACCTGGGCAATTGCTCTGGGCCCAGTGCTCAAAGCCCCTATGCTTGGGTTAATGCTCTGCTTTTCACACCTTGGAATTCTTCATGATTTTTGAACAAAGGCACCTGAACTTTCATTTTGCATTGGGCTAGTAAAATGATGTAGTTGCTCTTGGGTAGTATCTATCCAGATGGTTGTTATGAGTATTAATATTGTGGGAACTCTTCATAATCTGGCTCACCCCTTATCAGACTGAATTTAATTTAATTCCATCTCTTGTAATTGTGCTGAAGGACCAAGTAATTATTATTATTTTTATTTTGAAATTCCATCACAGAAGAAATAATTCAGGGGAAAACTGCCTTGGAAAAGATCATCCCTTTTCAGTTTCTAGATTGACTTTACAAAAGTTCCCCCTCTTTGAAGCATGTCCTATTTTCCTATTTTCTTGGCCTCTAAGTGCCTCAGAGTTTAGGCGTTTGATTCTACAATATTTAGAGAGAAGGAAATAGGGGAGGGGTATTGGTTTCCATTTGGTTGGGAGCACAAAAGCACTTGGAAGTGTGGGGAATGCAGAGGAAGATAATGGAGTAATGTGGTTTTCTTGCAAAATTCCCAAATTCTTAAAGAGATCAGATTAAGATTGAGTTTTTTTATTTAACAGCAAATGGCTGAGGGGCAGAGCAGAGGGAAGCCAGGGAGTTATCTTGGACGCTTCTCTTTCTTATGCCCACAACCACTGGGCCGCAATGGGCTATCCATCCATCTGCTAAACATACCTCCAGTGTGGCACTTCTTCCCTTCTCTCCAATCAGGGCTGCCCACCAACACACAGCACAGCCAGAAGCTCCTGACTTCACGCCCCCTTCTCCCCACACCTACTCTTTTGTTGTTTGATTTTTGCAGCTGCTTTATTGAGATATAATTTATATATCATACAGCTTACCCAGTTAAAGTATACAATTTAATGGCTTAAGGTATTTTGCATTATTAATTCTTTTAAGCAGTAGTAAACATATATAACATAAAATGTGCCATTTAGCCATTTAAGTGTGCAATCTACTAATGATAATTACATTAAAAACGTTGTGCAATCATCTCCATTATTTCCAGAACTTTTTCACCACCCCAAACAGAAACTTGGTTCCCCTCCAGGGATGTCCAACCTTTTTATTTTTTGCTGATGCAAAAAAAACTCTTGGAAGAAGAGTTGCCTTGGGCCACACATTAAATACTCAAACACTAATGAGAGCTGATGAGCAAAAGAAAAGATCCATACATATTTTGGGGGATATCTGACACTTATTATTGATGTGGCTCTGTGGTGCCAACTCAGATAAGCAAAACAGGTGTCAAATAGTATGCATGAGGCCCTCTGGCCTCAAGTTAGACACTCCTGGAGGCAAAAACTCTCCATCCCCCTCTTCCAACTCCTGGTAACTTCTATTCTACTTTCTGTCTCTATAAATGTGCCTATTCTAGGTCTTTCGGAGGAATCATACAATATTTATCCTTTTGTGTCGGTTTATTTCACTTGATATAATATTTTCAGTATTCATCCATGTTTTAGCATGTATCAGAACGTTGTTCCTTTTTAGGGCTAAATCATGTTCCTTATTCTGTTTATCCATTCATCTGCTGATGGACACTTGGGTTGCTTCTACCTTTCAGCTATCCTGTCTATTGCTGCGATGAACATGGGCATACAAGTATCTGAGTCCCAATCCTTTGGGGTATGAACTTCCAGGACCCACTGTTGACACTCTTGTCTGTTTGTACTCTACAGCGAGAGTAACTTTCCACCAGCACACATCCAGTAACTTCTGTTCTCTACTTAAAATTCCTTGCCAACTTAAGATAAAGATGGAAATGCCCACCACGGTCTCCGAGTCCCTGAGGTTGACTTGCCAAAGGATCTAAGTCCCCTCACACTTCCCTTTGCTCTGCTCTGGCCACCTTAGACTTCTCTCCATCCTCCTATGGAGATAGATTCCTTTTAGATTTCAACATGCTGCTCCCTTTTCCTGGAATGTTCACCCTCCCCACACAACCAGCTTTTGGTAGCTCTTGGTTGGCCAATTCTTCCTATTTTTTTACGTCCACCTTGCCTTAAAGTCTTCCCTAAGGCCTCCTGTCCTCCCTCAGGTTCAACTTCTCTATTACCCTTTTTTGCTCCAGTGGCTCCTTGACTTCAGTGATGCTCTGTTCGCTTGCCACTACTGTCCAATGTCTGTCCTCCCGGCTGTAATAATGACTGCTATTGACTAAGCTCTTACTTTGTGATCCTATGCACATCATCTGTGTCAATTTACCAACTCCTCCCGAGTCTGAGGACTTTAGCAGAATTTTCCTCATCATCTTTACAGAGAAAGAAACCCAGGGGTGCTGCCGCAGTTAGTAACAGTGCAGACCCACAGGGTAGCGCTGCCAGCCCCCCACCTCCAGCCCTATGAGGCATGGTTTCTTCCCTGTGCCAGTCCCCAGACGCCCCACACACTGGTACTCAATTCATGTCTAAGCCGGCTGAATGAACAGAATGGAAAGTACAGGCAAGACCCGAATGGGGAGCAAACATTACCTATGTAGTGTCTCCTAAGTGCTGAGCCCCCCCTACCCACCCTCCAAGCCTCAGTTTCTCAACCTGGAGCGTGCATGCTAATAAGAGGCTTATTGAGAAGGTTGGGTTTTCATTTTAATGTAGATTTTAAAAATCGTTGTGCCTGGCCTTCTGGGTCCCCCTTCACAAACACTGATGTTTGGCATTTGCCACCTCCATCTCTAGACTGGAAAGAAGAGGCTGGGAACACCAATTCGGGGACCCAGCCCCCGCGTGGGCACTGGTGGGACGCAATGCCCCTCCTGGATCTCAGAGGCACATCTCTGAGATGGTGCCACCAGAGAGGACAGCGCATTCACGTTTTCTTTCTCCAGGCCTCCCTGCCACACTCTGGGGCGTTTAGCAGCCCGGGAGCCCCGCCCTTGGGCCTCATTATCTGCGTTTCTGCGTCACGCCCGCCGCGAACTTGGCAGGCCCTCCCCGCGGTGTTCGGGAACACTTTGTGCCTAGCGCCCGCCTGCCCCGCCATCCTCCCGCCCGCCCGCCAGGCCTGGCCAGGTCGCCGCAAGGCCCCTAGGGTTTGGGTCGGTCACGGAGCCGCAGGTACCTGCACCTGGAACGCAGCCATCGGGACCCCCACGCACTTGACCTGATACCCCCAAGTCGGAGCCACACAGACCGCTCCTTCCTCACGGGCTGGGTATGCAAATGTGGGTCACACCGCGCGTAATCTAGAAGTTCAGAAAGATGCTGTGGCCCAATTTAAAACAAAGCCCAATTATTAGCGATGGGTGGCTATTTATGCCGGTCCAGTGTCAGATCTCTAGCGCCTCAGACAACCAAAGGAAGCTAGTCTGAGAGAAAAGAAACCGACTCTGAAGCCACTTGACCCGTTTTGAGACCTCAGGTCGTTGCCGTCCTGGCTGCGCGAGCTTGAGCTAAACGTCAGGGCTCAGTCTTCTCTTCTGTGAAATGGTGAGAACTGTGCGTGCTTGGTGACTCTGCACGTGGCGCAAGGCCGGTGACAGGGATGGAAGTACTGTGATCCGCGCCTCCAGGACCCCACCTTCCCTCGGCTCCCGTTCGGCCCCGCCCCGGGGCGCCCCAGCCGCAGGCTGCGCTTGTCTCCAAAGTGCGTCACGGGCACCGGGCGCACTCCTTCCGCTGCCCGGGCGAAGCTGGCACCGCGCCAGCGCGGGCAGGGCTGGGGTGCCGGGCCCTCTTTGGGGCTGGGATCTGGGCGTGGAAGGCGCTCAAGCTGCGGCCCCGCGAGCGCTGTCGAGGGCGCCCTCCACGGTGGGCAGCGCGCCAGGGACCGGCCTCGGCAGCCGCCTGGCGCGCGAAGGCTCCGCTTTCCCTACTAACCTCCTCCCTTCCTCCAGTGCGGCAACAGCGGAGATTTCCTCTCGGGGAAACTACGCGGATCCTTCCTGGGGCTCCTCGCCCCGCCCCAGTTCCCCGCCTTTGCTGGGGAGCCTGGGCTGGCCCGCCCCAGTGAGGAGGCTCTGGCTGCCTGGGCCAGGAAGCGGCAGGGGGCCATGTGACGCCGCCCTCTGCCCGGCGACCCCCAGCGCTCCCAAGACTTGCGCCCGCGCCCTGCCGCGCGGCGCACCATGCTCCTGCCGGGACACGCGCGCCCGCCGCCCGCGCCCCAGCTCGCGCAGCATCCTGGCCTCCGTCGGCAGGTAGAGCAGCCGGGGCAGCTCCTCCGCCTCTTCTACTGCACTGTCCTGGTCTGCTCCAAAGAGATCGCAGCGCTCTCGGACTTCTCCGGTAAGAGCGCCCTCCGTGGCGGTGAGCCCCCGCTCCGCGGTTAGCCCAGGTGAGCCCCGGACTGGGGACAGCAGCCTCTGTGGGCAAGGCCAAGTTGGATTAAAGTAGGTTGTTCTTGTCTGGTGTGAGCCCCTGACATACAGGTGGCTTCGTGCGGAGCGGCGGCAAGGGAGCCCTCACCCCCAGAAGGAAGTCACCAGTGAGGTAGTTTCTCGCCCTGATGTTGACCTCGTCAGTTTCCCGGTGTTAGGAACCCAACTTGATCCGCGCGCGTTCGCCAGAGGCGCCTTAAGCTTAGTCCTGTGCCGCACCCAGTGCTGTAAAATACACGTGTTGTGGTCGGAGGAGTTGCACTTAGGGTGCCACCCGCATCGTTCAGGTGCCCATGTAGGGAACCTAGCTGAGGGGACACCTGCCGTGAACTCAGTCTGCTCAGGAAGGCAGAGAAGGAAGCCCGCGGGGACCGGAGGTCTGGTGAAAAAGGAGAAAAGAGGAGAAGCTAGGAACAGAGAAGACTCAGGGGCATGGCTTTATTGCCAAAAGGCACCAGCGTCACCCCTCTTCAATCTTAGTTTCATTAAAACAAACAAACAAACAAACTTTTTCCTCTCGAGTAAACGAAGATGTTCTTCTTGAGAATCTCAGATAGTTCTGAGGTTGCAGGCTTGGTGCCCCAAGGTGAGAGAAGTTTCCAGGTTGACGGCGACTATAGGAGTGCATGCTTATATTAGTGGTGCACTGGCTTATGGTCACAAACATCCCTGCAGCTGTAATAGGCTTGCGTCTCCCTCTGGCAAGGCTGGAGGCCTCATGCTTCCCCAGCCCAGCCCAGGAAAGCAGCTCTGGGTCCCCACTTCTCTGGGGATCTTATGCCAAGACTCAGCTTTGCAAAGTTCCGGTAGGGCCCTCCAGTTCAGGGTCATTTGGAGTATAACTGTGGTAAACTGAGTCACTTCTCAGACCTGTTTGTGCAGACTTGTACATGAAAAGAACAGGGGCAAGCCAGAAGTTGAGTTTCTAGTTTACTGAAAGAGAATGTTATTGTTAGCTGAGAACTCTTAGGTCAGAGGATTTTTTTGCTTTGAATATTTAATATCCAGGCAGTATTCCTGCCTAGCAAAAGAAACCAAGATATGCCCATTTGGCAGGGAAACCATGGCCCTTAAAATCAAGCATCAGAGGATCAGAACTCTGTGATAAATGTTCTGGGGAAATGCATCAAGCTTTTCAAGTGCTATTGAATTTTTTTAAAATAGAACTTTCTTGGCTGCTAGGAAAGCTCTATCTTTGCTGTTTTAAGCTAGGGAGAGCTGTTCTGAGTTCAACCACCGTCTAGCTCTAAATTCTAAAGAAAGAACTGAACGCTGACAAGCCCTTTTTTGTGACATCACTGCAACTGAACAAATATTGCTTTAGGCAATTGGCGCTGTAAACATTAGATTGTTTTCACAGATTATAGACACTCAAGAGTTTTGTTTCTTTAGGGAAGCAGTTCAATACTTGTAACGTTCTATGGGTTACCACCCAAATTTGGAATTATCTGTTTGTAGCAACTGTTAATATACAGTGAACTTGAACTATCAACCAGGCAGGCTATATCCTTAGTAAAATGAACGCCTGATGCAGGTTCTTCTAAATAATATAAATGATAAATCCATTTCTCTTTGCTTTCCATGCAAACTTGAATTCCAGAATTTAAAAACTCTCTGAGGCCGAGTGTGGTGGATTACCTGAGTTCAGGAGTTCAATACCAGCCTAGCAAGAGCCAGACACTGTCTCTAAAAAATAGACTGGTATTGTGGCAGACACCTGTAATCCCAGCTACTTGGGAGGCTGAGACAAGAGGATTGCTTAAACCAGGGGTCTTCAAACTTTTTAAACAGGGGGCTCGTTCACTGTCCCTCATACTGTTAGAGGACCGGACTGTGGGCCCCGGGACAAGTCTGCTAAGCAGGACAGGCAGCGGTGGCAAAAACACCTGGTGGGCCAGATAAATGACCTAGGCGGGCTGCATGTGGCCCATGGGCCATAGTTTGAGGACGCCTGGCTTAAACCCAAGAGTTTAAGTTTGCTGGGAGCTAAGATGCCACGCTGAGGGTGACCAAGTGAGACTTTGTCTCAAAAAATAAATAAAAAATAAAAACCCTCTTAGCCAGTGGCAGGTGGTGGTGTTGCCATTCACAGCCAGTCCCCGTATTCCCTCTGAACAGTGATGCTTTCCAGAGACCTGAAGACTTAAGGAGATAGTGTCAGGATCGTTTTGAGAAGAGAAGGAATATAATGTCCTCCTAAACAACAGACACTTGCAAGTTTAAACCTTAATTCTGTATAGGGAGATACCAGGAAAACATTAGGTGAAAGAAAGGTGCAATCTTCCGTAAGTTAGATAATTTGACTTGAAGCTTAATGAACCTGTAGAGACCCCCTAACTGCATGTTATGCAGCGTGGAGGAAAATTCCCAAAGCTCCAAAGATGACAGTACGAGTGGTCAGGTGAATGTTTTGGTTGAAGCGGTGGATCCTGATCACCTAACTGCAAACCCCCTGAGGCCTTGAAGCTTGCTGCCTGCTTTCCTGGGTACAGCTGGTCCTGTTCCTTTTTTTGAACTTGGAGGAGTGTGTAGAAACCAAAACAGAGGTCTATAAAGAGACAGTGGATCCTCCCCCGCAGAGCCATACAACAATAGCCAGGGCCAGACTACAGCTTTTGACAACGCAGATACTTGTTTTTCTAAATAAGGGAAGCATCAAAAACTAGTGGAGGATGAAGGGAATGTGGGACTCTTTTGCCCTGGAGAAAGAGGAGGGAGGATGGTGTGTCCATGTGAAAGAAAGTACCAGAATGTCAGGGTTCGCAGTGCTGTCTATATAGTGTGGGGCTCCGCGGAGACTGGCAGAGCAGAGTTTTGGAAATTTACTAAAGCCTTTCTCTTCTTCGCATCTGTTCCTTGAGCCTTTCGCGACGCTGTCAGCTGGTATAGTTTTCCTGGGTCATTGATTTTTTTTGCCCTGGGGATTCCAGCCTTGATCTTACTCTTAATAACCCTGAGGCTGCGTTCTGGCCTCCTGCTCCTGGCCCTCCACACTCCTGACTTGTTCTAATCACCTCCAACCTGCTGGTAAACGGGCTCCCCAGTCACCCCTTTCTGTCTCATCCTTGAAGATGTTGAGATGCTGCCAGGAGCCACTGGAAGGCTATCATCACTGCATTAAAAATGTATCCCAGCGAAGGCAAGTGCATTTCATGCAAAATTAGTGCCTCTGATCCTTAATCTTGTACTCAAATGTGCTTGGCTTTCATCCATTTTCCTCTTTGGGATGGAGTTCTGTTCATTTGACCACATTCTCAAAGTGAGGATTGGGGCTGAGATTTCCAAATTGATCATTGATTTTTTTAAAAAAACCAAAACAAACCTCAGAAGTATAAAGTACCACACATGGGCTTTGTTCAGAAGACAAGGCAGTGAGCTGGGACTTAGGGGTGGAAGCTGAGAGGAGGGACAGGTGCCCTCCTAAATTCCAGTCCTAAGCAGCAAGGGATCCTTTCCATTTTCCCTTGCTGTGAAGAGTGAAGTTTCAGGGGGCCTCTCAGACTTAGTTTGCACTGGTCCCTCGTACTTGCCGATTTTGGGGGTGCTTTTACCCTGTGTAGTTTCTCTGCTGAGGACAAACTGGGTCTTCTTTTCCCCCTTCTACATCTTTCCTTTCTCTCCTTTTCTTTTTCTTCTGTTTCTTTTTTTCTCAGAGAAAGTGAAAGAGATTGATGTGTAGGGATGGGAGGGAAGACGGCGAGGAAAGGGTGGAAAATCGTTCTGGTTCCCGCTGAAATTCCTGGAGAACTCTTGCCTTTGGACAGAGTTGTCTGGCTTGTCTGTTTACACATTAGGGTTTGCCCTAAGGCACATAGTGGTGAATGTGGGAAGCCTGGTGGGGTAGCTCTTACCCTCTTCCTTGTACCCAAGTGTATGCAGACCTCAGAGAAAGGTCACTGTAGGACGGAAGGTTTTTTGTTGTTTTGTTTTGTTTTTAAAGAGATGAAATTTCTGTTTCCTAGCCTAGAGTGCAGTGGTTATTCACAGGCACAGTTATAGCTCTCTGCAGCTTCAAATTCCTGGCCTCAAGGTATCCTCCTGCCTCAGCCTCTAGAGTAGCTGGGACTACAGGTAACTCACCACTGCAGATTCTTGGCTTATTTTTCCAAATAGGGCCTG